CTCGCCAATCCTTCCTCTTCTAATTGGGTAATCAGCATACGTACTTCATTTGGCAAAAAGGTTTTTTGTGCTTTGCTCAGGGCATTTATGTGTTAAATCATCCAGTTCAGAAGATACTTCCAATGCTGTTACAGTCTGCGCTTCTATGTGCAGAATTGCTGCTTGAAACACCACAGCGATATTATATACGAAATAGAGCCACAATTCAGCACAGGGATTCTCAAAAAAGTTTCGGAATAGGGTTGGGCACTTCCATTCCTACAAGAAATAGGATTTCAGTGCAGAAAACAATTTTGAAACTCTCTCTACTGCAGGCATGAGTGATAACCATCTAGTTTACCCAAATGCGCTGGTACTCTACACAGACAAAGTCGCAAAATTCTTTGAATGACTCAACACAAACAGAGTAGATATAGAAATACAGTCAAAAGTCGTTAATCCGGACTCGTCGGGACTTCGGCGATTCCGGATTATCGATTTTCAGTTTAAATCTGGTAATATGGCATGCAGAAATTATAAAATTAAAAGTATGAAACCATACTTTATGAAATAAAGAACAGTTATGATCTAAAGGGTATCAAAATTTACCAAAAAAAAAAAAAACTTAATATTTATTTGTTTATTTTATTAAACATTTCTTTATTTGTAAGTTGTTGTTTAAGTTGCTTCGTTTTTTATGTGATAATACTTTCTCTTTAATTCTATAAACAGACATAATTTCTTGTTCAGTTACAAAGTTCCGCTGTTCAAGTCCTATAATTGCTGTGTCGAGAATACCGACTAATTTGTCAATTGAAATTGTTTCGTTTTCAATAAACTCTGTGTCACTTTCTTCGCTATCGGAAGCGAATTATAATGACGAGGAATTTGATTTAAATCATATCAAAGACGAAGTACATCGAGATGAAATACTACATTTAGTAAGGAATTATAAGCCAAATAAAATAAAAACATCTGCCCTGAAGATAAGGAGAGTGCTGACAGATCAACTTCCAGTTCATTGCGTGCCGCGACATCCCCCCCCCACCGCAGAGCAGCGTGAAATTGATAAACAGATTTCGGAATGGTTAGATAAACAAAGGATATGCCTTCATCCATATTTTGCAGTAATTCCACTTTTTGTTTAATGGACTTCGAAACATACTTTCGTTTTGTAGATCTTTACATATTAGTAAATATATATCGGAAATTCTATTTGACATAATCGAAAGTTCAAGCTTACTTTTATAAAAATGCTCTAACAGTCTGCAAAAAATAATAAGCCGGATCCAATTCGAAGATTAAGGAACAACGCAATCTGCAACATTAACTGAATTAGATAATTTTAGCTTAGCTTATACCGTCCGTTACACATTAAACACGCATTCGTAAACGTATTTTGCACATGCATATTCGCAGCCATAAAGGTCTTACGTGCATGTGTCAATGCGATGCATGCGCAGAAAGTTTGTAGCTTTGAGGTCCGGATTATAGATCATTCCGGATTATGGGTGTCCGAATTAACGACTTTTGACTGTAATAATAATGTTTCATAATAACTGCTTCCACATCAATTTGCAAGCAATCTCCTGCTGTTTGGATTGTGTTGTGGACGATATGAGCAGCACAACCAATATTTAGCAATTTCCTCCCGACGGCATCTTGTAATATTGCAAAAACGCTGTTTCTACCTCTTCTTTTTAATCCCCCGAAATTCGTGTTAGAGTTGTCTGTGCAGAAACGACCAACATTTTTTGTCACACCATTCTGTTGCAATGCATTTAAAAGAAAATTCAAGTTAATTGACGTTAAGAGTCTGTTTTGCAGAAAAGCGGATCAAATAGGTGTCCCGGCGTGATAAGCGAGGGAACTCAGGACACAAAGTCTGAAATCCGGTCTGTCCCGCCTAAATCGGGAAGTCTGGTCACCTTAGTCTTTGCCACCACCCAGAGGAAGAAAACCGATTTTAAAGGAAAATGTAACTCCATGGGATTCTTTTCATTAGGACAGACTTCAGTGTTTTGCAGCATTTAAAATACAAATAAATTTCCTTTGGAAATCTGTTTATAGCAGAAAGCAATTCCTGGAGAGTCAATTGAAGGATCTGAAAATTCTGTATAACTGCACTGCCTATTAATGTAGGACAAACAAATATTTCTTTTAATGTAATAGGAGTTTCATATTTTCGTTAATTTTTAATTTTAACAAAAGTTGTAAATTTATTCCTACAAAATTAAGTAGTGGAATTACTTTTATTTTCATAAATACTGCCAATTTCCATTTAAAATAAAGTAAACAACAAATTAATTTTTAGTTGCATTGATTCTAAAATGAAAGAATCTGTTTTGATATTTATTGTGCTAAAAGTAAATTAAAAAAATGAATATAAAGAAATCATATAATCTTTTTCATTTAAAAGTATACTAAGGGAAATGTTTCTTTAATTCCAGTATACTAATAAAACAATATGATTAATACTAAAATTCGTATTGATGCCTATTTGACACTTAAGAGTTTGAAATCCTTTCCGATTTTAATACAGAAAATCAAATGAAAACTTTAAAGAAAGTACAGCATCAGAGTCATGCCATCAGATTTTAATATTTGAAACTAATCTCAAAACTGCTTCTTCTAAATATTTTTATTACCTTCCAAATCCTCATTTGTGCCCCATTGCTGGCAAGTGCCTGACTCTTCCAAAAGCAGTACTGCTCTGTGTTATAAATTCATTTAACAAAATAATAACAATTAACAGCTTTTTAAATGTATACATTGTAAAATATAATATCTTCATATTATTTAAATCAAATCAATAAACTGAATCATGTTTATGTTAAACGAGAAGGATAGCAAGAATGCGTGTATCTCATGTTGCCTCAAAACATATTTTCCAAATCCTCATCTTTGTTTTGTAAAATCATATAAAAATAATTCCATATGTCGAAGTTATAACATAATTCTGATTTCATTCTATGTTTGCCGAAATTTATAGACAGCAAAGAATATTTATTGACTTTTCTTGTGCTTCTATAAAGTTCATGCATCTCTGGTATTTTTTTCGATGCTAATCACTTCATTCTTAATAATAATTTTAAAATTTTACTTCAATTATTATAAATTAATTATTAACGCTATCATTCATGCCAGTATACAATATGTGTTAATCCCGTATGTGTTGATTAAATTAAGGAATTTATGAAGTTTACCACATTAATAACTGAGTTTCATTCAGTTTACTTTATGAGCTACTAACATTATTTAAGTACTGCTACGAAGGTTATAATATAGTGTATATTCTCAGAAGTGAGTAATACAGATTTTCTGTAATTTGCCTTTGGTATCAATAATTATTAATTCATGCAAATTTGAAATGCTTTAGCATAATAAACTGTGTAAAATAGTATTAAATTTAAACTCTAATTGTTAAGAGAACCAAAAAATGTAATTAGGAAATGCAGAACTATTTAAAGTAAGCGATTCATATTAATCATCTAATGAAAGAAATTATACAACATTTTTACTTAATACAATTATTTAAATACACTGAAGCTCTGCAATGTAAGAGAGTTATTTTCAATTTATAGCTTAAAAATCTCACAAAAATGTAGTTTTTCAATGGAGAAATAATGGTGAAAGAAAATGCATGTTTTGTACAACTAACATAACTAAATATTTTCTGTAATTTAGTTTCGATGTTTTTGACCTACTGATTTGTGTACCCATAACTATTCGTTTAGTATTACAGCAACAAATTGCTAATTTGAAAACTAAGGTTGTACTTAACTAATTTGCGAACTATGATTGTGTTGATATACAAAAGCTTTTAATAAAAAATGAAATATTTTTATATAATAAAGTATTCAAATAGGTAAATGTCCTATAAATATAAAACGGTTTTTCTTTCATCTACTTATCAAAATATTTAGCTCTTTCTGGTAGAAAAGGATGACAGAAATGGAGAAGAGAAAAACAATATTAAAAGATAAACAATGAAAAAAATATTCCAAGCCAAATAGAATTTTCTTTTTGAAATATTTCTGTTTAGAAAGAGGGGGTATTAAATTAAGAAATAGTTCTTATTATAAGAAATATATTTATTATAAATAAAGGTGTTAAATTAAGAAATATGGTTAAGTTTTTAATAAGCTATAGTAAGAACTCATTTTTAACACAATTTAGAAATTATGGAAAAATATGAAGTGTTTTAAATATTAAATTCTAAAGAATGAAAGCAAAATCATGTAGCTTCTGGACAGATAATACTAAAACATATTTGATATGCAATATGCTTAGAAAATGAACTGATCACTTTTGCATTCAGTTTATAGGTTCCGGAAACCACAACATTGAGTACAAAATATCGAAGAAAAATACTTACCAAATAATAATGAGTCATAATGGAAATACCAAATTATTGACATAATGATAAAAGTTTTTTTCCCTCTAATCTGCATCGAGGTGAAAAAGCAGATGATTCACTCAACTCTTCTTTCAAGTTCATGATTCACGTATTTTTCTGAGCTTTGTTATTTCACGAGATAATTTAGTGCTGCCATTTTTTTTAATCCGGAAATTTTGTTGATAAATTAAGAATATTTTAAATTTCAGCCCTTTTCAATACAATTACAGATAAGAAATGCACTCATTATTTTGCTGCTTGCAACATTGAAAAACATAAACATGTTGCATTGACAGTAATACAAAAAGTGCAAATTCTGCAAAAGATGGAGGCAGGTGCTACTCCTCGGTTTATAGCAGAATCGTATGGAATTGTGACACGATTGTGTATGATATACGGAAAAATAAAGAAAAGCTGTTGAAATTTTACAGCAACAGTTTACAGAAATTTTAACACCGGAAATCTTTGCATTAGGTGAAATCGGCAAACCTCGATGCTGTGTACATATAATAAAATGAATAATATAATCAATTTATATATGTAATAATAACTTAATGCATATAATACGTTATTGCAATAATGTATATAATGATTTAATTAAATGAATCTAACACGCCTTATTTATTTTGCACTTTGAGTCTGAATATTATGATTTATCTTTTCTGCCTTGAAATCCGCAAAATCCTAAAATCCGCACAACCTCTGGTCCCAGGCTAGGTGGATTTTTGGACTTCTACTGTACTGCATTTACTGTAGTTTCTACAGATATGTAATAAACATGAATGGATTACAGTTATATAACCTTGATAGGGTGAGATACAATTCAAATAATTACTTTGAAGAGTATAATTTCTAACTAGATCACTAAAACATTGTCGTAGTTATCTCTTCTCTAAAACAGGAGTACTGAGATATCACACTAATTATTTAGAATTTTATCCTGTGTTGAGTGACATCTATTGAATTTTATCCTGTGTTGAGTGACTTCAGTGATATTACATTTATTATGGTTTAGCACTTTATTATGTTACATTCATGTCACTGCATGGCGTTATATTAAAATCTCAATGTGGCATTACTCGAATGTCGCAGTGCATGTGAATGTTATGCATCAACATACAGTGTAACTTCACATCAATGTCCTAATGTGACTTTACATCAACATTGCATTACATAAACATCACAATGTGATGTCACAAAAGCAGATATTAACCCATTAACCGCCAAAACTACAAGGAATGTTTCTTTTCTCATGAAAATAATAACAAATATTAAATTAAGCATTTATAACATAAATTTACATTGAAAATGAAAAAAATGCTCTTACCTGTGGAAAAAATGAGCGTTGCGTTCGTGCAACGTCAGCAGAATAAGACTATGGATATTTAGCAAGTAGGATTGTACTCATGTGATGTTTCTTTTGAGTGGAGCGCAGGATTACTTTTTAGCTGTACAACGCTTTATAAATCTACAAATCACTTTACTTGTAATTAATTTAATATTAAAACATACATTGTATTTCTTTTACAAATGCAGTTTATTTCATTTGAAAGATTCAAGCATGAAAAGCTTGATGACAATCATGATGTAAAGCTACATTACATACTTTGCATCTATAAACAGTCTGGCTATAGTATTCTTTACAACAAAGTCTTTTGTTATCATTGGACTTTACGATAAAATGTCTAGCATCTCCATGCAATGGTTTCTGAATGCTGAATTTACTAGGTCTTCCTGTTGCTGATCTATTTCTGGCTAATTCTACACTTTCAGTAGGAGTTTGCAAAAGGAATAATGCATTCTCGCGTCTAAAATCTAAAAGAGACTTTATATTTCCAGTAGTAAAAAGTGGTGATATTTAGTAAGTTTAGATACGGTCTCATGTCATATAATTTATCAGTATTGTCTATTTGACTATTGTCAAATGCAAATTCTGCTTCATATTCCTGTACTGCAAACGTGATATCAATTTTTGTACAACAGGAACAGAAATGTCCTTATCAAAAGACCAATGCATTTCTTCTTGAGGTAAAGAATATCCTGTAAGCAATAATATTCCAATAAATCTTCTCATATAGGCTTCAGATGCAATAAATTCTGGGCATTCTTTTTCTTTTTTTCTGAGCGTATATATTTGTCTGTTCAACGAGAAGAGAGTAAATGTCTAAAACAAAAAGAAAATCGAAAATCTGTGCACTAGTTTTACCTTGTGTTTTGTCTTTTATAATTTCTCTTCCATCTCTTTCTTCATGTTCTTCCTGAGACATAACTAACAGTTCCTTTTTTATCCACTTCAAGATTTCAGTCTTCTGATTTTTAAACTTTTTAGTATGACTATAAATTTTTTTAGAAGGCTGAAACTTACTTCTTACGTGAATTTCAACTTCCCCAGCAGTATCATTTGGTAAAATATCATTATCATTATTTAAAACACTGCCATTCCTTTCTTCTTCGTCACTAGCCTCTGCAATTTCTGGGGGAACAACAACATCAGTTTCATTCTGGTCATTATTAACATTATCATAATCTGTTTCTTCATCAAAAAAATCTTTGAAGGGCTTCTTCTAATGTAAGATACCTCGTTCTAGGCATTTTTAAACAACCAGAACATGAATCAGAACATCGAAAGGAATGAGTGAAAAAGGAGATTGACTACCCGTTTCTTGCTGACGTTGCGTCAACGCAACACCTGTTTTCCCTTCCTTCCCAACACAAATATAAACATCTGACTGATGTAATATTCTGATAAACGGTGACCTTCACTAAAAATAGATCACTCATAAAGATGGCGATTCTTTCGTTAAATATTTTCAGCAAAAATACCCGGTCGAAAATTTTGCTTAAAATATGAGATTATTATAAACAAAATGATTGTTGAAGGCAAATATTTTTTTTACAGAAATAATCTTCATAATATTCCCTACACAAAATCATCTACTGGTATAAAATATCTTAGGTAGTTATATTTATACAGTCAAAAGTCGTTAATTCGGACACCCATAATCCGGAATGATCTATAATACGGACCTCAAAGCTACAAACTTTCTGCGCATGCATCTTATTGACGCATGCGCGTAAGACTTTTATGGCTGCGAATACGCATGTGCGCATGCGCAAAATACGTTTACGCATGCGCGTTTAATGTATAACGGATGGTATAAGCTAAGCTAAAATTATCTAATTCAGTTAATGTTGCAGATTGTGTTGTTCCTTAATCTTGAAATTGGATCCGGCTTATTATTTTTTGCAGACTGTTAAAGCATTTTTATAAAAGTAAGCTTGAACTTTCGATTATGTCAAATAGAATTTCCGATATATATTTACTAATATGTATAGGATCTACAAAGTGAAAGTATGTTTCAAAGTCCATTAAACAAAAAGTGGAATTACTGCAAAAAATGGATGAAGGCATATCCTTTGTTTATCTAACCATTCCGAAATCTGTTTATCAATTTCACGCTGCTCTGCGACGGGGGGGGGGGGGGGATGTCGCAGCACGCAATGAACTGGAAGTTGATCTGTCAGCACTATCCTTATCTTCAGGGAAGATGTTTTTAATTTAATTTGGCTTATAATTCCTTACTGAATGTAGTATTTCATCTCGATGTACTCCGTCTTTATGCGCATGTGCACATGCATATTCGCAGCCGTAAAGGTCTTACGTGCACGTGTAAACGCCTATGCGCAGAAAGTTTGTAGCTTTGAGGTCCGGATTATAGATAATTCCGGATTATGAGTGTCCGAATTAACGACTTTTGACTGTAGTAACTAGATGTAAGTGTAACATAATTAATTCAGTTTTGACATGAATGAATATTTGACTCAAGATGAGTTCACAATTAGGTTAATTAAAAAATAATCAATTATTCCACACACACACCCCCGCAAATTAATCTTATCATACACTAAAAAAAAGGGTACTTTTCCGCTTCACCAGCGCAAATCTCTCCAAGCAGACTTTATTGGCGACAGCATAACATACAGTATAACATAAAAAATAATAACAAATGTTAATTCTAAGAATTTTTTATTTATTTTTTTTTCATTTTAATATCATTTAAAATTTTATAAAAAGCCAATAAATAAACACAATAAATTTGTAAAAAGACATCAAATTAAGAATTTACTATGCTTTCATTGTTCAACATCTTGATTTACTGGTTCATATCACGTGACCCCAAGTGATCTCATCTCACGTAAATTACACTACAAAAATCTAATTCTCTCAGTAATTATCTACATTAATTTCTAGTTAAATCTTAATTTGGAACACATGTTTAAATGCAAGAATTATTTCAATTCGTATGAATAGCTTACTCAGAAATTATGTAAAACAACAGTGCTTTACTTCGCCAGTGCATTCTCATTTAAATTGATGAATTTAACCCTTAACTTTGCCTTTTCTATATTCTCACCTTTGGGTGAGCGGTGTGATTGCATCCTAATTGACTGAATTACCGCCTTAGGGCATAAAATTAAACTATCTGGTAAAAATTCTATGTAATTGCATGCCAGTATTGAAAGAAGCAATCAATATGATAAGAAATGGCTGCGAATTATTTTGAAAATGAGGCGTAAAAAGTTACCAGCGAGAATATTCCGTTTGGTATCAGTTGTACCATTATGGATGATTTTATCGCCTGTCCAGCAAAACGGAAAAATACCAAAAAATGTTACTACAAAATTACATTTAAAATTTTTGAATGTTTCAGAATCACATAATATATCTTTAATTTATAATCTATGCTGCTTGATATTAAAAAATTTTAATAACAATACACACAATTTTAATAATATTTTATTTAATACATTCTAGTTTTTACACACAATTAATAATAATTAGATCAAATTTTATTTGCAAAAAACACAACATAAAAATGGCTTTCATTTATAAAATATATAATCTGCATAGCTTAATATTTAAACATTTTAAAAACAATGCACACAATTTCCTTTAATCATTATTTATAAAAAATTATGTAAATTTTCAGCAAACTGAACAGCAATGTATATTTGGGACGCAATTTATCAAATTATGAGGTTCAGTAATAATAATGCTCTTATTTCTCATCAAACAATAATCATACACATTAGTACAAGCAAATAAATTTAAAACAGCTATTATTAGTAGCATATGTACAGTTTAAAAGTCTCAATAACATGTAAATTATTTAACTATAATGACATACTAAAAGAAGTGTAATACGAGTTTAAAGTTCTTAACTTTTTCCGTTTCCTGGAAATCTCCTGGGACAATATGTCCCAATCATATTGTAAACTGGAACTAATTGTTCCAATTGTCTAAGATATTACCCTTTCTCAGAAAACAAAACTAAAATTTACGGTAATATATAATATGAATAATACAAAACATAAACTCTGTCGCATGCACTAATTTATATACAACAGAAAATTTCATATATGTTTCATATAAACAGAAACATAATATATCAGCATGTAGTAATTTGATCACTGGTGGGACATATTAACCCACTGGTAAATAAGATTGGGACAATATATCCTACAAAAAGCATTTATTCAAAATTTCTTAAATCTGACATTAAAAATGTTAAATTACTACTTAATAAGAACAATAGAACTATTTAATACTAAGTTTGTCTTAAATACAATTGTACTTACTACACTGCTGTCCACCCAAATTGCAACACCAAGAAAGACAAGAGATATCACAACAAAATTTATTTAGTACATAACATGTTGACCAAGTATCAAATGATTAAATTTATAGACTTCTGTGA